TAACTCCATTGTGAACTGAATTTTAGAATTTATAGAGTTAAGATGGTCTAAAAATGCAGTTACTTTTTCTAAAGGTAGAATTGTGAAAGTGTCGTCTACGTACCGCTTGTAGAACCTTGGATTTATGGGAGAATTAAGCAGGGCTTTCTCCTCAAAGTCTTCCATGAATATGTCGGCGACAATGGGAGATACAGGTGAGCCCATCGCCACACCATCTACTTGCTTGTAGAACTCCACCTTCCACAATAGGTAGCCAGATGTAAGGCAGTGTCTGAGTAATACTGCATATTCTACGGGCATGTTGTTTTCTTCCAGCCTTCTAGTTACAATTGAGATGCAGTCTTCAACAGGTAAGCATGTAAACAATGACTGCACATCAAAACTGACCATAGTTTCATTGTCTGCCAGATGTAGGTCTTTAATCTCGCTGACAAAATGGTAGGAATCCTTTATGTGTGCTCTTGTATGTCCCCTGAGTGGTGAGAGTATTTTCGCTAAGTAAATATACGCGATAAATTCCGTAAAAACTAGTATTATTTCAATGTGTAGTGTTCGCGTAAATATAAGAAATCATTATGTAAACCAGTACGGACTGGTAATTGCAAATAAAATACGCCGATTAGAAGATCTATAGACCAAGCGCGCAAGATATCTAACAGCCTTAAATTTCTTGAAGAGATGCCGTGACCATAATCTCATTCCTACGTGTGTTAAAATATCAACCAAAAAGGACATTCGAGGAAGCGCTAAGATCTTAAATCAGGCGAGTAAAAAGTTGTTACGGACGGTAATCCAACAAAAACGCTCCGATCTATATCACATAAACAAATCCATAGACACATCATCCAGTGAATTGAAGAAAGTTTTAACGACGTTTGACTATAATTTTTGCATGGAAACATTAAATAAACGCGAAATTAGTAAATATAATGAATGCAAAAACAAACATATAGAAAAATATCAAAAATTAACGAACAAGTCAAATGTCAAACATCTGAATCAATGCCAGAACCGAAAGCAACCATTGACAAACACAGATCATAGATTAATCGCGCTCTATAATCTGTCAAAACAAACACTGGATGATGCAACAATTAAGGTTTTATCCAAAGGCCTCAACTTTGCAATTACACCCCGCAAATTACCGTACGAAGAAATTATCTGTAGTGTCGAGGACTGTTTATTTAAAAACAATATGCGGAAAGAAGATTTGGAGGCGATACGTCAAGACATCTCGTCTATGTTACGTCGATGTTCAGTGCCTAAACCGAATCTTCCCAAAGACGAATTTATAGCGTTAAAGAACCTACGCAATAAAAACGAACTTACGATTCTCCGCGCAGATAAGGGAAACGCCACGGTAGTCATGGATACGTCAGATTATAATTCTAAAATACAAGAACTTTTGTCGGATGTAAGTACTTATAAAAAAGGTTAAAAACGACCCAACAAATAGCACACTAAAAACAACTAGTGACCTCATAAAGAAACACTCCGAAAAATTAAATCTGGACGTAAAATGGATAATACCTACGTGCGCCAAATCACCAAAATTGTATGGGTTACCAAAAATACACAAGCCCAATGCTCCATTACGTCCCATAGTGAGCCAAATCGATTCACCAACTTACAGATTGGCTCAACACTTAGCGAAAATACTCTCACCACTCAGGGGACATACAAGAGCACACATAAAGGATTCCTACCATTTTGTCATCGAGATTAAAGACCTACATCTGGCAGACAATGAAACTATGGTCAGTTTTGATGTGCAGTCATTGTTTACATGCTTACCTGTTGAAGACTGCATCTCAATTGTAACTAGAAGGCTGGAAGAAAACAACATGCCCGTAGAATATGCAGTATTACTCAGACACTGCCTTACATCTGGCTACCTATTGTGGAAGGAGGAGTTCTACAAGCAAGTAGATGGTGTGGCGATGGGCTCACCTGTATCTCCCATTGTCGCCGACATATTCATGGAAGACTTTGAGGAGAAAGCCCTGCTTAATTCTCCCATAAATCCAAGGTTCTACAAGCGGTACGTAGACGACACTTTCACAATTCTACCTTTAGTTAAAGTAACTGCATTTTTAAACCATCTTAACTCTATAAATTCTAAAATTCAGTTCACAATGGTGTTAGAGGCAAACAATTCCTTAGCTTTTCTAGATGTGTTAGTAATTCGGAATCCTGATAACACCTTGAGCCATACTGTGTATAGAAAAAAAGACCCATACAGATAGATATTTAAACGGTGATTCTCACCACCATCCTTCACAGTTAGCTACCGTGGGTAAATCTTTGTTTCAGAGAGCACGAGGGATCTGTGACAGTAAACACCTGGCTGCAGAGCTCCACCATGTCAAGCAAGTTTTGCATGACAACAAGCTTCGAGTCCCGCGCCTACGTCACAGTGAACGAGTGAAGCCGGCCACAGTCGTACGCCACACGTGTACCTGCTGTACTGCCATATGTTAGAGGAGTCACTGACAAGATTGGCTATATCTTGAAGCGCGCTTCCATCAAAACATACTTCAAGCCGCTGAAGAAGATTGGTCAGTTTTTACCATCGGTCAAGTGTAATGTCCCTCTGCAAGATGCAGGAGTGTACAAGCTTGATTGTGAATGTGGTCTCTCCTACATAGGACAAACTAAAAGATCAATAAAAACCCGCGTTAAAGAACATATAGCTGATGTGAAGAATCGACGCTCCGGGAAGTCTGCAGTCTGTTAACACGTACAGGATCGCCCCCGTTACTACATCAGATTTGATAAACCGCAGATCCTCGCTAAAGAACACCGATTCCTTCCAAAGATGATTCGCGAGGCTATTGAAATCAAAAAACATCCTAATTTCAATAGAGAAGATGGCTGGGTGCTACCATCTGCTTGGGATCCTATAATAAATAAAATTAAATCCCAACCCAAGCATACAACTGCAAGACTTTAAGATACCATAAGTTCATACTGCATAGATCGGAACAAAAGTTAAATTTTAATCTATGGTAACCGCGGTTAACTATGACATATGGACGTTGAACATCTCAGTCCTGCCCGTGACCATGAGTGCTGTAAAGCGTTCGAAACGTCGGGTAATTAAAATGTTAAATATACGCGATAAATTCCGTAAAAACTAGTATTATTTCAATGTGTAGTGTTCGCGTAAATATAAGAAATCATTATATAAACATATTATACTTCCCTTTTGCATTTCCAAAAGTTTTAAAATTTACATTGTCGTGAAATAGAAAAATCATGTTACCCGATTTTGAGTATATCATATAATTTTTAGTTTACTGAAATAATAAATTAAAATTTTATATAGATGGCTATAAGTATCTTCAAGCACCATAAGGTTTCATTGTTATCGAGATATGAAGGACGCATAAATATGTAAATAATTACTTTGCTTGCTGCTTTCAACGCAATGTTTGTATAGGACCAGCAAATATGTTTCTTCCTTTTATCCAATAACAGTTACAGCATTTTAAAGTCCTCTGCTGAACATAGTCTAACTATTGATTGCCTCATATTTGGCATCATTAATTTATAATAACTCAGTGGAACCGAAGAAGCGGGTTGTATATTATAATATACAGCCAATATAACATGGTCCACGGCTGAGTATATGGATTTAATGAAATGTATATATAAAAAAGGATATCATAGTAGGTATTCTCATACTTCTTGAAGCGGAAAAGAAAGAGTCCTTAATGCCGTCCTGACATATTGGTTCTCTTTATTTTATCATTTGGAATTAGTAATATGGTGCATATTATTAATTTATGTTTTTATATGCTAAGTTAATAGGTACTTATAATTTTTATTTAGTTTGCAAATAGCAATTATAATTTTTTTATATTGGACGTGGTTAAAACGAACAGAATAAAATTTAATTTGCCGTAAAGTTAGTTTTGCCATTTACCGACAGATGTCACTGTTCACTGTGTATATATTATAATATACTCTTTGTATACTGATTTTCTTTCTTTATTAACTGGCTTTACGGCTCTGGTTCCTAGACCTTCTGAGCCTATCCTTTCTTTTGGAATCTTCATTTTATGTTCTTTTTCTTCATAATATGCTAGTGCGTCACATTGCGAAGCCCTTGGGAGATTTTGACGACAGCTCAACCTAGCGGACAGTTGATGACGACAGCCACTCAAGTTCATAAGGCGCCCAAGCGATCAAATGAACTTGAGGTTTATATCGACATCAAAGCACTTGTTTCGTCGTTTTCTCTAATAGTTCACACGCGCGGACACTTAATTCACAAAATCGCATGACTTACGAATCAAAATCCACTTCAAACCATTATTCAAGCGACAAAACAGGAGCGACAATCCATCTACGGCCAAGTTCCCGCCAAAAAACTCTTTGTATACTGAGTCATAGATACTACACTGAGTAACTACCATGGAGGTTAGAGAACAGGAGAACGATCGCTACGTGCTAAAGCATAGCCCGCCTGTCCCTAAAAATTCCGTGCCGGGCCGTAAGCATTGTCTGCGAAGTAATTTTTTAATTTTTGACAATAAGAAACATTAAAAAATGGTGTAGTATTATAAAAATATAATAATAATAATAAATCAATAATAATTAATACTTTATATTTTTAATAATTTATAGTATTTATAATAAATAAAATTATTGAGACAACTTAGCGATCGCAGCGCCTCACTTATTTTGTTTATATTTCTGGGACACTATTTTCTACAGCGATCGGTCTTCTGTTCTCTAGCCTCCATGGTGACTACCTAAGCAGCTTGAAGTAGAAATCTAAAATTTGGACTGTAGGTGGCTACCTTTTATGACGTAGAAATCCGCTATGAAATCATTTTGAAAAATACGATCCCTAAGAGTGTGAAATAAGAGTATGTTACAGTTTATTATTTTATTACAAAAATATTTTACAGGGCGTTTGACTCGATAGTTACCGAGATTATTGTATTTAAAAAATAAGTAAATACGTATTTTGCGATTTAAAATAACCCGTTATGGTACAGGGCGCAGGAGCAGAGGGTATGTAATTTTGTAAGCAAATAAAATATTTTGGTATTTCTTTCTTAAAATTACCTCTTACCGGGGGAGGGAGAAGGGGGTAGATAATGTTCAATTTGAAGGGAGAAAAAATATTTAATGCTTTAAATTAATAAAATAATAAAATTTGCCTTTTACGTTTTGAAACCAAGGGTTTAAATTTTGTATGAAAAATATTATATTTTAGATGTTGATGCGTGTAATTGGAACAATAACTTCCTATTATTAAGTAGACATCTACGAAAAAAGATGTCTTGAAAAATTAAAATTCTTAAATAAAAAAACAAGGTTTTAACCCACTTGTTACTACCGTCCTTTATAACGCCACTAATTAAATGATAAATGTACCCGCCAGATTTATATGTTCAATGTTGTATAAACAAAGATCGTCTTAAATGTAAGTCTTAAACGGACCATTTCTGATACGGTAATGACCGTCATCAGAAACGGTCCGTCTTTAATGTGCACCTACTATTTGTCACAGTGTGTCCATTATTTTGAAGTTAAGACGTGTTTTAAATTAACAGTGTGATTGCTTTGCGACATGGCTTCAAAAAGGTAGAGTTTTTTAAATATACTTATAAAGTTTTAAACACTACAACGTAGAATCCCGTAAAGAACTGTTATTTTGATATAAATGTAACATAAAATAAACTTGAATTTCACGATATTTCATGAAAATTATCTTATGTAAAAACTTGTGGCGTTATAACGCCCGGTAGTAAAATTGACGTCTATTTATTATTACTATTATGTTTTAGATCACTGACGAAACGACCTTTGAATCTCAACGACATAGTTGATGCATTACACAATATAGACTCTGATACGATCTGCCCTGTGAAATTACCATTTTTCCACCGGAAGATCCAAATGACGAAATAACAGACGAAGATTATGGTGATGAAGAATTTGTGACATTACATAATCTCCCAGGTTTGGTTATTTCTTTTAAGCATATTACGAAATTCATTTCAGTCACTGAACTCACAATCAATTGTATAATGTATTTATTACTTTTCAGGTTCCCAGCTAAGAGCTCCAGCAGAGATTACTTATGATGATACGTTTTCAGACAGTGACGATTCTGAAAATGAATTATCTTTGTCTGTGTTAGCAAAAAGAATACGCAATGCCAATGAATGCTTGCCAGAAGATTTGGATCAACAGATATCTTCTACTTCTTGCTTCACTCCATTTATAAGCTGTTCATCGAGGAACGTCACTCTTAGTGTAAGCAAAACCCAACAGTATACGTGGCGCAACAGGCACAATCCAAGTGAATTTACACACTGGCAGGATCGTGAGGGCCCAAAAAATCTGCAGTCACCTTTATACTACTATGAGTGGTGAATGGTATGGTGAATGATGAAGTAATCGAAATTTTGGTACATTACTCTAATATTTACGCGAGCCAAAGGAATATTATCGCTAATATAACTACTTCAGAAATGAAGTGTTTTTGGGTATACTTTTATACAGCGGTTATGTCGTGGTACCACGCAAGTATATGTATTGGGAGAAATCTTCTGATACTCACTTTGATGTTGTTTATAATGCCATGTCTAGGGATCGTTTCACAATGATAATGAAACACTTACATTGTTGTGACAACATGTCATTCGTACAGATAGTGATAAATTTGCGAAACTTAGGCCTATGTTTGATTTACTAAATAAAATTTTCTCAGAAATGGCACCTTTTGAGCAAAACTATATTATTGACTAAGCTATGGTACCATACTATGGAGGCCACAGTTGCAAACAATTTATACGCGGGAAACCAATCCGATGAGCTTATAAACTGTGGATAGCTGCAACTAGGTTGGGGTATGTTTTTTGGTTTGATCCATACCAGGGACATTCTTCAAATATCCCAGCATGCTATAAACAATTTGGATTAGGGGCAAGTGTAATTTTGAGCTTTGCTGATGTTTTACAATCGTGCTACCCAAACACTCAATTTTATTTATTTTTTGATAACTTTTTTCTTCTATCCCTCTTTTTCACGAATTGAGTGATAGAGGATTGAAAGCTACAGGAACTATTCGTGAGAATCGTACCTCTAGATCAGAGTTCCCCAAACTTTTTTGTATCGTAGACCCCTTGCCATGTTTTCCGTGTTGGGTACCCCTACTTACCTGATATAGATTTCCTGTAAATTTCTAACTGTAGTGAAGTTTAGTGTTATAAACTTAAAGTAAAAACACATGTTAATTTATACATTTATTAATTGAATTTAAATTAAAACTACTCAAAATAAAATTTTGTTGTATAAAATATACTATTCATTAAATAAATATAAAATAAACTTTAAATAAAATAACATAAGCAATAAGTCAATATTTTTAGTGAGAAGGATAAACCTGATGCTTTAATAATAAACTATCAACATTTGGCGTCAATTTTGTCAGCGTTAATCTTAAATCTCTCGCAATATATCCAGTCTTTTCTTTTTTTCGTTAGGAAATTGGTAACAGCGCTGAACCCCCTTTTCACTAGGTATGACGATGGAAAGGAACTTAAAATTTTTCTTGGTGTATTCCATAATATGGGATAAGTAACGGGTATGTTGTTTTGCAGCCAGAATTGCTAATGTCCGTTTTTAAACTGAACCTTAAGTTCTTCGTTTGTACTTAGTTCAGTCAGTTTCTCTTGTATTCCTCTTGTATGACATTCGTTTCTTTTATGTCACCATATGGATTAATTATCCACGGTGGTATTACCATAGTCAAAATATCCTTAAACCTAGATTCAAAATCTGAAATTTAAATGTTGAACGTAAGTTGAAAAGTCGTCTTCCTGGCAGCTTGTCTGTGACAAATTGGGGAACTGAGAAAATTCGACCCGTCCAATATTTTACTTCATTAGTTTAACTCTGGCAAGAAACGCTGATAAGATGGACTTTGTTTTAATCAAATTTAAACTGTCGCCTTGTAATTTCAAATTAACCATATTAAATCTTGTAAACAAATCTGTTAAATAGGCGATGTCTGTTTTTCTCTTCATTAAATTTTCTTTTAAAATTTTATCTTTAGTATCCAGAAATTCTAAAATAGTCTCAAAAAGTACAAAAAATCTTGTCAAACATAAGCCTTTCGACAGCCAGCGTACTTCAGTGTGAAGGAGTAATTGATGAAAGTATTCGTCATTTTCTTCACACAACTGCGCAAACAACCGCGTATTCAACGCGTTGCTTCGGATTCGGTTTACTGCATCAATGACTAAATGAAGTGATTCATGCAATCTAACACTCAAATTTTTAGCAACTAAATGTTGTCGACGGATGACACAATGTATTGCTAACACCCCTGACACATTTTGTTTTAAATAGCTTATAAATCCACGATAACGTCCAACCATGGCAGGTGCTCCATCTGTAGCTACTGATATTATATTTGATAAAGGAAATTGCTTTTTCAATGAAGTAATCCTTCAAAACATGAAATATTGATTCGCCTTTAGTGTCGGTTATCAAAGTTCTTGTGAAGAGCAGTTCTTAGTAGATTTCTTGATTCATAATACAACGAACATATGCCAATAATAATGCTGCATTATCGGGTAAAGTTGACTCGTCCAGTTGTATAGATAAATGGGTCGTTTGCTAATAATTACATAAAAAGCTTTCAATATCAGAACTCATTTCATCAATACGTCTTTCAACAGTATTGTTGCTTAAGGGAATTCTTTTAATGATATCAGATGCAGGTTTGTGTAAAACAGTTTTTAAAACCTCTTCAACGGCTGGCAAAATTAACTTCTCTCCAATAGTATGCGGTTTTCCGGATTTTGCTATAAGTAACGAGATATTGTAAGACGCCCGCAAACCATCATCATTTCTTTGTGACGTCGAAGCGAACATTCTGTCCAGTGTAGGTCTCTTCTGAAGTTTATCTTTGAGTTTTTGAAAGTATTTCAAATCTTTCTCTGTTTTATCAGGGTGGCATCTTCTCAGATGATCTTGCAGTTTAGATGGTTTCGTAGCGTCATTGCCCAAAACTTTGTTGCATAAAAGGTACATAGGCGATTGTTTGTCCGGCAATGATGGAATGAAGCCAAATTTCAAATAATCGACACTGTACTGTCTACATTTTTTTTTAGATTCGGACATAGCATCAGTCATCTTTGGGCAAAATTAAATTATTTAAATAAGACAGAAAATCCAGCAGCTGTATATTAAAAATATTTTTTGATTTTTCCGAAAACATTCCATAATTCGAACATCTTCTTGCAACAATTAGCTCGAATTACGGAGATTGCACTGTAATTATAATACCGATTGCTAAAACTTTCAAAAAGAAACTATTGAGGAGTACTCGTGTAATTTTGAATGATTGAATATTCAACTACTAAAAACTAAAGTCATGATTGGCGTAATTTATCTCTTTGCTAACTACAAGTACAAAACTAAAATTTAATAAAAAATTATGTACTTACTTTTCTCCAGCACACTCAAACAAAATAACACTGACTCACTATAACTTGTGTGATATACTATCTGTTTATATTTTTTTAAATATTTTCTTAGCACTTTCCTTTTCAAGATTCAGGAAACGAATAAACGTATTTGTCCCACATTCGTATTTATAGAGTGACGAATTGAACAAGTCAGTGCAAGGTAGCGAAGCTCTGAGACTGCGACTCTCAGGTTTTTACAAGTTCAAAATGTATTACGACCACAAAGCGAATACCAACATCCTACAACTTACACAATTTATAAACATATATAATATTTTTTTTACTTCATAGGTACTTTTATAAATAATGTATATGTTTTGATATTATAAATTAGTATGATGTAAGTAAGTAGGTACTATCAGTGTATGTGTTGAGATCCACTATCGTGGACCTCCATTTTCATTTCATGGACGCCCAATTTTTTTTTTTTCGCTGACGTGTCATAGACCCCTAGAGGTCGATATAGACCACTTTGGGAATCACTGCTCTAGATGCCCACTACCTGAAAACAAGGTTTTCAAAAAAACAGAGAGAAACATTCTTCTATAAGTCTCGTCAACCCAATCAGATCTTAGTCTGCAAATGTAATGACAATAGTGTCGTAAGTGTCGCCTCTAATACGGAAACAATTGAGCCGCTTCACAAAGCCAAGCGATTTTCTCTACGAGGTGATTTATTTTGGTAAAGAGAAAAATGATTAAATGATTATTGTAACTTTAAAATTAGTACGAATACTTAAGCCTTAAAATAATTCAATTAGTTATTTTTTCATTTTCTTAAAGTGTTAAAACTAGGATAGATTGTTCACGCGGAAAAATGGTTTTCAATTGCGTGGTGGAGGGGAAATCCGTAAAACTAAATTATGATAACTATGAACAATACTTATTATCTAGAACTTTACAAAAATCTGCCCCTATTGATTATTATATACCTGCAAAATATAAACAATTGTCTATTTATCATTGTTTCCAAGTTAGTAATCCAACAAAAATATAGTGACATCAGTTACAGATAAAACGGCTTTACGTTCTTTCTGATGCATAGTGATGAAACGCTGCTAAACCCTTGACTCCGGGCTGTTACTGAGAATTTCTTGACAGAAAATTCAACTAATTTTAAGCCAGATTATACCTATATCTTAAAGGTCAAAAACTTTCCTAGGTTGAGTTTAGTTTTATTTTTTATTTGTTTGCAGGATGAGACAAAATATAGATACTTACGCAATTCCATTATTTTATTAGTGTAGGGAAGGTACTTAGTTTTATGTAGGCATTGGATTGTAGTTTTCATTTAAAACATTTTATTCAATATCAATAATTAGTGATGGTGCTTGCTTATTTAGGTTATTTCGAAGTGCTGAAGTGAAGTCGGTATATCGAAGTGCTGAAGTGTTTGTACAGTAGGGCTACGACGGCTATCCGAGTACAGAACCAGAGTACATACCTATCCAACTGCAGAGAGGTGTAAGACAGGGTGGAGGTGAAGTTATATCCCCGAAGCTATTCACCGTTGCATTTTAAGACGATTCCAAGCTACTGGACTGGAAAGGATACGATATTAACATCAATGGCGAGTACATCACTCACCTTCGATTTGCCGACGATATAGTCCTTATGGTAGAATCGCTGGAGGATCTAAGCACTATGCTCAATGACCTCAATGGTGTCTCCCAACGGATAGGTATTGAGATGAAGAATGATTGAGGTAAAGAGATGGATCATGTTTAATGTCCATGTCACACCCATGCCGGTAGTTGTTGTTTGAAGTTTTTGATGAGTACATTTACCTGGGACAAATAGTCGGACTAGGTAAGTCCAACTTCGACCAAGAGGTCAATCGACGGACTCAACTCGGCTGGGCAGCGTTCGGGAAATTACGACACATCTTTTAGTCAGG